AGAGATGTGCCCGGAGCCGGAGGTTCTTCGTCCTCTTAGCTATTTCTTCGACGTTCTTGAAGGCGTTCCAAGCCGCTCTCTTCCTCCTGCACAGCTCGGGTGCCAGGTCATTTGTCATGTTGACTTCTCGACCTAGGTACACATAGCTGTTGCATTCGGAGATGGTGGTTCCATTGAGAGCGAATGGGGCATCAGGAACGAGGCTGTTTCTCATGAACATTGTCTTCGTAAGATTCAGCTGTAGTCCTACCTTTCCACACTCACAGTCAAAGTCGGCCAGCATTTGTGCCGCTTGGCTGATGTTTGGTGTTATTAAAACAATGTCATCAGCAAAGTGGAGGTGGTGTAATTGCCGACAATCTATCTTCACTCCCATCCCTTCCCATTCCAGTCGTCGCATGATGTTCTCGAGGGTGGCACTGAAGAGCTTTGGTGAAATGGTATCACCCTGCCGAACCCGTCTCTTGACATGAATGATTACATCTTTGTAGAATGATGAGATCCTGGTAGTGAATCTACAATACAGCTCACGGAGGATCTTGATGTATTGGGCTTGAATGCCCTGATTGGCTACGGCTTCAATGACCGCTTCCATCTCAACAGAATCAAAGGCCTTCATTAAATCAATGAACGTTAAACAGAGCGGCATCTTGAACTCCCGAGAAACCCCAAAGAGCTTGGTTATCCTGTGGATATGGTCGATGGTGCTGAATCCTTTGCGGAACCCGGCTTGCTCGCATGGTTGTCCTTCATCTAGTATTCTGCCAATCCTATTTAGGATGACTCGAGTGAACAACTTGTAGATGACAGACAAGAGGCAGATCGGGCGATAGTTGCCAATGTCATGGATGTCTCCCTTCTTGAACAGTAGTACGGTCCTGCTGGTTTTCCACTGGGACGAAACCTTGCATTCAGACAGGTAGTGTGTGAAGAGCCGAGCCAGTGTATTGATGAGTACTGACGGCAGGTTCTTCAGGTGTTCAGGTCTGACCTTGTCTGGGCCGGGTTCTGTTTGTTTCTTTACTGACGAAATGGCGTGTCGGATTTCGGAAGGGAGAACATTGGGAATGACATATCCATCCTGTGGAATTTTGTATGTCGGCAAGTGGACATGGCTATCAAAGAGACTTGAGTAGAAGTCATGGATAATCTTCTCCATAGCCGTTCTGGAGGATGTAATGGATCCATCAGGACGTCGGAGGGCAGTCATCTTGGTCTTGTAGTTGGCGAAGGACAGGCGGACATTATGAATACTTTTCCCGGCTTCTGCTGCATCTACCAGTACTTCTGCTCTTCTATCTTTGAGGTCTTCCTTGATCGCATCTCTGCACTGCTTTGCGAGCTCGGACATTAGCTTGCGGTTGCCTGAGGCATGTGCCAAACCACGCTGGTGAATTAGCTCAAGAGTTGTCGAAGGTAGGTGACTTTTTGTGGCTATCTCTCTCTTGTTGTTCCTCGCACATTCATGGAGGTGCTGAACCAGTCAATCGTACTCCTCGTCAATGTTGTCAACAATGGCATCTTCCCATGTTGCCGCAATAGTACCAATGAGTTCCCAGTTGGTGGTCATTCTGGGAGTTCTCTTTTTGAACTTTGCAGCCCTTTCTCCCCACTCTGTGAAGTAGAATTTTGCACGAAGGAGACGGTGGTCTGATCCCGTTCGAAATTTTGGGACAACAGCGACATCAGTCAGGCATAACCGTCGATTGAATATGATGTGGTCTATTTCATTGTGGAATCGTCCACCGGGAGACTCCCATGTCGAACGTTTAGATTCTGCCTTCTGGAACTGTGAGTTACCATAGATGGTCTTGGTCGACATGATGAACTCAGACACTCTCTCACCCTGTTCGTTCCATTCTAGGCCATGGGTCCTGATGTTATGTTCTTCAGCTGATCTTCTCGGTCCTATCTTGGCATTAAAATCACCCACAATGATCTTGTAGAAGGTGTGGTCTTCTTTATAGAACTTCTCTAGCTCCATGTAGAACTTCTTCATTTCTCTTTTATCATAATGAGATGTTGTTGCGTAGACAACGAAGATAGAAACTGCAGGCAGTGAGTCACATCTATTCAAATGTAAACGTCCGATTCAGGTTGTTAGGCATTCGAATGAATCAATGCTCTTGGCCAAGTTTGTGTTGACAAGGACACGGACGCCTCCAACACCTCTTTTATCGCATGTTCCGAGGAACAATTTTCTCCAGTGTCGAAAATGGCATGGTGAGATTCATGCCTTCTTGTCTCGGTCAGACCAATGATGTCGTACTTGATCATTCACGCTTGTACCATCAGGTCCTCAATGGATGCATCTGATGCTAGCGTACGTGCATTGAAAGTACAGACGATCATTTTTGTCTTCCTTCGTTGTGGCAGACTACGTCGGTCTTGAGATTTAGTCGGAGGTGAGATTGGTGTTCAAATATTAAACGTAATGAAATACTGTGAACAACTTTATAAAACTAAATTAAATTAAAGATAAGCACCATGATAAATCCTCCAGTAATTTTGCTATTTCCACATAATATTGGTGACTGTCACTGTCACTGTCCTCCTGTTGTTCATTGATTTGCTCGAGCGGGCCCAGTAATATTGTGAGACTTGTCACGGTGTTTGGCATATCGAATACATAATGAGTAGCTTGGCAGGCTTTGCTGTGCGGGCAAGATAATCTGGGTAGCTTGCCAGGTTCTCCGAGAGGGGGGAAGAACTAAATTCGAGGTCGGCTGTGTCAGCTGCATTGGCTGCGTGCAAGGCAAATACCCTACCCGTTGCGCTATTGCTCCAGCACACGTAACATAATTTTCTATTCAACATACTTTATAACAAATTGAAAATGTGTGTCATCAAGGTGACAGCAATGAGGATCTATTGCATCTCAGCATTGTTCAGAAAATTCGGCGACTAACATCGTAAAACCCCCCAGGTGGGTGTTTGGATGATGTCAGACACCAGCTGCCTCCTCTCCTCTCCCACAGATACCCCTCATGGGAATCTCTTTCATGCTCCTGCTGACCCTCTGTGCCAGCCCTGCCCTGTACCCAGGCCATGACATAGGCCCCGACAGCCCGTGACTGTGGGTTTGGCATAAACGCAGTTTCCTGGACTCTGAGTTATTTTCGGGGAACACCGGAACTTCCCTATTGATGAGTATCGATTGCACTATTGATTGGAGAAGCTGATGTCAGCGCAGACCTTCCCTCCCCCATCCGGTCCCCAGGAAGCTGTGTGTTTCAGGGGACACCTTCTCCCGGGTGTGGCGGGGTCCGAGTCCCTTGAGAGCCCCGGACCCGGGACCGCGTGGGACTCACCATTTGTCCGTCTGCGGGACCCCAATGGACAGGGCCACAGGGGTCCTTTCTCTCATCCCGGGGTTGGCCTGGTCCCGTCAGGAGTCCCCAAGGCCCTCAGTGCTGACTGCCCCCTGCAGGGACATGGGAAGAGGTGCTGGGCCACAGGGAGAGGCCACAGGCAGCACTGTCCATGTGGCCCCACAGCCCCGCGTGAACACAGGGAACCCCGGGACAGGCCCAAGCGGACACCGGCTCCTGCTGACCTGTCCAGCTGCCGCGCCAGACTGGGGCTCTCCGGGGGCACTGGGCCCAGAAAGGTCGGTCAGAAGGGGTAGGAGGGGTGGGGCAGGCTGCCCGACCTTAGCCCCCTGACCCAGAAACAGCTCCAGAGGGAAGGTAGCAGGAGCGGTTGTTCCAGAAAATTTCAGGGCCTCTTGAGCCAGGTACCGGCTGCTCCTCCCTTCTACTCTCCCCCCTACATTCCTCTCTCCCTCTCTCTCTTTCCCTGTCTCTCCCTCTATCTCTGTATCTCTCTCCCTCCCTCTCTCCCTCTTTCTCTCTCTCTCCCGTCTCTCCCTCTCTCTCCCTCTCTCTCCCTCTCTCTCTCTTCCTTTCTGCCTCTCTCTGTCTTCTCTCTCTCTCTTTCCCTCTCTCTCCCTCCTTCTCTCCCTCTCTCTCCCTCTCTCTGTCCCCTCTCTATTTCCTTCTCTCTCCTCCCCTCCCCTACTCTCCCTCTCTCTCTCCCTCTACCTCTCTCTCTCTCATCCCCTCATCGTTGTGTCCTCCCCTCCATCCTCTCCCTTAGCCCCTGGAGCTTCTCTGAGGGACCAAGGTGTGGGTGCTGGGTACTAGGGCTCAGTTGAGGCGCCGTCTCCACCTGTGTTTTCCTCTTTTCCCAGGCCCTGAGGGAGACCCCGGCCGCTCTATGTTTTCTCTGCACTCCTCAGCCTTTAGGAGGAGTTCTGCTTTGCTCTGGTTTTCTGGAACACACCTGAACAGGGTCTCTTGTCACTGACCACCTGCCCAGGCCAGACCTCTTGTTCTTAGAACAAGAGAAAATGCCGTCTCTACAAATGCCTCCCTGCCCTACTTTCTGTCAACCTCATTGCACTGCCCTCTCCCCAACTGGATGCACCTAGTAATGGGTACTTCCACTTCAGATAGGAAGAGGGGTGAGATGTACAGGAACGTGTCATGGAATTCAAACCCCTCAGCTTCTGTGCGGACACAGAGTGTCCTGGGCATTGTGTGGAGACTTAACCTGCTGCTCCCCAGCCAGCTCCCTGTTTGGGAGGGGGATATCAGCAGAGTGAGGTGCAGACAGACAATCTCATCATGCATTTTCTGTCTATCCCCATGAGCACAGGCTCTCTCCTCCACCAGGCTGGCTGGTGCTGAGGTCCCATTGTGGCGTAGAGGTAGGGCCCTTATTGACAGCTTGAGTGGATCATCTCCAGAGCTGTGTCTAATCTGCCATGGGACAGGAGACTTGACTACTGCTTATGAGTGTGAACAAGGGGTATCCCAAGTCTGGTCAATTATCAGGAGAGTCTGGGCCTAGCAGGGAGCTGAGCCCTTGGGCAACATGAGGCAGGTAGGGTCTGGGTCAGGGTGCACTAACCCCTTTTCAACCAGCCCCTCAGCTTCCATCTTGATTTTTCTGTCATGAAGGCCCAGCAATGTCCAGAACTCTCCCTCTTCCTCTAGCTGTGATGTCCGATTCTGAAATAAGAATTATCTGTGGAACACCAATACTTAAGAAACACGTGCACCATGTGATCACGTCACTCAATGCTTTCAGAAGATCTACTTATATCTACAAGGTGAACAGAGTAGAATAAACAAATTCATCTGCCTTCTGGAAAACCAGGCTTACACGACAAACAGAAATGGAACTGATAAAAAAGTTCTATAGATGAAGTTAAAAACTCAATTGATGTTCTTAACAGTAGAGTAACAACAGCGGAAAACAGTCTCAGTGACTTTAAGGGTGAGATACAGAAAACCTCCAGGCAACAACAAAACGTGGTAAAAGACCTCAAAATAACTCAAAGACAAACTAGACAAAGGATTATTTTTAAGAGGAACAACATAAGAATCCTCAGAATCACAGAAAAATAAGGAGGTGACTGCAATGAACTAGTAACAGTTAAGGACATTATTGCTGAAAACTTCTCTAAGCTGGACATCACAGGCACCCAGACCCAAGAAGCTCAGCATGTACCAGCTAAAAGAGATGCTAATCAAAAGACTCTGATACATATCCTAATAAGAATGACTGGCACCATAAATCGAAATCAATACTGAGAGCAGCAAGATCAAAGAAGGAAAGTACATACGAAAGAGTGTCCTCAGATTTAAAGCAGAACTATTAAATGAATCCTCTGGTTCCTAAGACTATGGATAGATATAGTTTTTAAAAAATAGCAAAATGGAGCTTCACCAAGAATACTTTCCCCAGTGGATTCTCATTCACATTCAAAAGAAAGATATCCTAATTCATGGACCAACAATAGCTCAAAAACTTTATGAACTCAAATTAATATTGAAAGAAAAGCTCAAGGAATGACTATAAGGCAAGACAAACACAATAATCCTCTAAAGAAAGATGGCACAAAATCCTATGACACTAATCATTCTCAACATTAATGGTCTAACTGTAGCAATTTAGAGACACAGGGTAGCAAAATCAATTGAAACATTGACTGCAACATTCTTCTGCCTAAAAGAAACAAATTTAACTAGTTGGAGCAAACACAGACTCAAAGTCAAATGCTGGAAAACAATTCTTTAGCAAAGAATATCTTTAATATGACCTGGGTGTTCATACTAGTGTCCAGTGTCATATATTTCAGGCTGTACAAGGTTACCAGAAACAGTGAAGTTCATGTTAATGATCAAGAGATGTGTGCATAAGGAAAAAAACATACTTGATGCATATATGTACGCAATGACTGATCAGGAAAATACATAAAAGAACTGATAATATACTTAAAGAAAGACATTGGTAATGAAGTCTATCAAATTCTTTTTTTAAAATCTTTTTTATTAGTGAAACACGATGAGTACAGTTGTAGACTTACAAAATTTCAAGCTTGGTTTTTAGTTATACAATAATCAAGTACCCATCCCTCCACTAGTCTCCATTGTCCACCACCAATGAACCCAGTAACCCTCCCACCCCACATCTCCCCACCCCACCCCACCTCTGTGGCAGGGAATTCCCTTTTTCTCTCTCTTTCCTTTAGGGTGTTGTGACTTGCATAGAGGTTTTGAGTGGCCATCGTATTTGGTCTGTAGTCTACTTTCAGCATGCATCTCACATCCCGACCGAGTCCTCCAAACACCCTTTACTTAGAGTTCTCTTCTCTATCTGAGCTGCCTTTTCCCCAGCATGTGCTGCCAGCTTCCAAGCCATGGAGCAGAACTCCTGGTAATTCTCTCAACAATTCTTGGGTGTTCGTCTCCCATTCTCTTTATTCATATTCCCCAGATGAGTGCAGTCTTCCTATGTCTGTTCCTCTCTTTCTGACTCATTTCACTTTGCACGATACTTTCCTTGTAGAACCACTTGTTTGCAAATTTCATGACTTCATCATTTCTAACAGTTGCATAGTATTCCGTTGTGTAGATGTACCAAAGATTCTTTAGCCAGTCATCTGTTCTCGGGCACTCAGATTTTTTTTGAGATTTTGGCTATTGTGAACAGTGCAGCAATGAACACACAAGTGCAGATGTCATTTCAACTATACTTTTTTGCCTCTCCCAGATATATTCTCAGGAGTGATATTGCTGGGTCAAATGGGATCTCGGTTTCTAATTTTTTGAGAATCGTCAAAGCTCTCCCTTGCATTTCTTCAGCGCCACCTTGACTGGCTCCCTACAGGGTACAGTAAAGTGTGCCCTGACCCTGAGCCGAGTAAAGGAAATTGGTTCCTCCCATTTGCTCATATGACTAAAACACACCTTGTTCCCTCATGTCTTGTCAGGATGTGAGGCAATGTTTGTTTCAGTACAGAGAAGAGTTCATCTTGTCTGCTCCAAGTTACACACTGGAATGTAGTTTTGAGTTATGAATCTGACAGGAGTATTGGGGTCTTTTGTAAAGGTTAGAGACTCTGACCCAAAGTGCAGTGATGGAAAGACAAGTAACGCTTCTTGTCAATCTCCTATTTGCCTCCAAGGGCTCTCACTGAACTCAAAATAACTCAGGTGCCACCATGAGCTACCGTGGCAGTGAAGGGGAGACTCACCCACCTTAAATACTCACACTGCCTGACTTTTGGGGGTATCTATATTTATTTTAGTTATATTATTTCTCTTTTTTTATCTTTTTATTCACTTGTTTTTTTAATTGAATCACTGTGGGAAAAGTTACAAAGCTTTCAGGTTTAAGTCTCAGTCACGCAATCATAAAACACCTTTCTCTTCACCAGTACTTATTTTTCACCACCAAGAACCCCAATATACACCCCCTCCCAACCCTCCCAATGCCTGTGAGGCAGATGAATTATAGTTAACACTCTAACTACTTTGATTAGATTCATTGTTTCGACACACGGTGCACCATTGTTATTTAGAGTTTACACTTCAAAATCAGACCTGTTGAAAAGGTATTGTGAAATAGTTTGTTTTCTACAGCTGGTTACAAGAATCAAATGAAGTTGCATGGCTGCGATAGCAGCCGTGTGATTTTGGATTTTGGATATTTTACTTATTAAGCCTGGAAGTATTTCTGCTGAGAGTCAGATAATTATGAGATTGATTTCTGTGGCTCTGGGGCCATGGCCGTGCCGGAGAGCCACTCGTGGGGGGACAACTTGTGACCTCAGTAGGGCATGAAGGATGAGCCAGGATCGCCCCCCTTCCCATGAGGTTTCAGTTGCCCTGTCACGATTGGCTCATACCTGGCTTTCCAAAAAGCTCCAAGGCGGCCGCCATCTTGCTTTCCAGAGGGGAAAAAAAAAGCTTAGTTGTATTTTTTGAATAGTTTGGGTACATTGATGATTTTTGACCCTTAATGCTGAATATTTTTTTCTTTTTGGGGTCACACCCAGCGATGCACAGGGGTTACACCTGGCTCTGCACTCAGAATTTACTGCTGGAGGTTCTCAGGAAACCATATGAGATGCTGAGAATCAAACCCGGATCGGTCGTGTGCAAGGCAAATACCCTACCCATTGGACTATAGCTCCAGCTCTGATGCTGAATTTTTTTTAAATTAAATTTTAGAACATATTTTCTGTTCCCTTGGATTTATCCCAACCCTCTGGTGCTTCCCGGAAATAGGAGGTACAATAAGTGACACACCCTGTGTCTAGGCTCTATTCATTTGGGGGCTGTGGTTGGGCCACACCTGGCAGTGCTCAGGGCTTGTGTGCTTGTACCCTTCTCAAATGTGTGAGTCTGAACACTAAGACCAGGCTCCCTGCCAAATAGATTGTGTGTTGAATGCCTTCTATTAGCTCTTTCTATGCTCCAGACAGGGTCAAGATTACTCAGTGATGACTCACTGAGGGTCCTGAGGTTCATGCTGGTCTATGAACACTGAGTTATAGACAGGATAGAGTAGGATCAAGTACTGTTACCAGGGTAACCACACCAGGCAGGTGACGGAGCAAAGCCTCTTCCTTGTTCCAGTTAAGCCCATCATCAGTGACAATGACCATTCTTTTTTTTTTTTCTTTTTGGGTCACGCCTGGCAATGCACAGGGGCTACTCCTGGCTCTGCACTCAGGAGTTACTCCTGGCGGTGCTCAGGGGACCATATGGGATGCTGGGAATCGAACCCAGGTCGGCCGCGTGCAAGGCAAATGCCCTACCCGCTGTGCTATCTCTCCAGCCCTGACAATGACCATTCTTTTTTTATTGTTTCCTGTTTATTTATTTATTTTTAATAGTGAGGCACCATGAGGTACAGTTGTAGACTTACACATTTTTGTGCTTGGGTTTCGATTATACAATGATCAAACACCCATCCCTCCACCAGTGCGCATTTCCCATCACCTCGGATCCCAGCATCCCCTCCCCCCCCCAGCCCCTATCCCACCCTGCCTCTGTGGCAGGGCATTTCCCTCTCTCTCCTTTTGAGTGCCATGGTCGGCAAAAGAGGCATTGACTGGCAATCATGCTTGGTCGACAGTCTACCCTCAGCATGCTCTCCCATTATGGGCGGATCCTCCCAACACCCTTTATTTGGTGTTCCCTTCTCTTTCTGAGCTCCCCCTTCCCCTAACATGTCTGGATGTCCTCCAGGTCATTGAGTAAAATTCCTGGTACTAATCTCTGCCATACTTGGGTGTTAGTTTCCTATTTTGTTACTTTATGTTCCCCAGATGAATGCAATCTTTCTATGTCTATCCCTTTCTTTCTGAGTCATTTCGCTTAACATGATACTTTCCATGTAGTACCACTTGTATGTAAACTTCATGACTTCGTCTTTTCTAAGAGCTACATAGTGCTCCATTGTGTAAATGTGCCAGAGTTTCTTCAACCAGTCATCTGTTCTCGGGCACTCAGGTTTTTTCAAGATTCTGGCTATTGTAAAGAGTGCTGCAATAAACAGACAATTGCAGATGTCACTTCGGCTATACTTTTTTGTCTCTCTGGGATATATTCCCAGGAGTGGTATTGCTGGGTCAAATGGGAGCTCAATTTCTAGTTTTTTGAGAATCATCCATACTGTTTTCCAGAAGGGCTGAACCAGTCGGCATTCCCACCAACAGTGAAGGAGTGTCCCTTTCTCACCACATCCGCGCCAGCACCGGTTGCTTTTGTTCTTGTGGATATGGGCCAGTCTCTGTGGTGTTAGGTGATACCTCATTGTGGTTTTGATCTGCAT